GTAAGAAAGTCAGTCTGAGGACCTCACCCAGAATTTACCAGGTTCTTATCTTGCCTTGCAGAAAAGAATTTCAGAAATAGACAAACAGTGAAATAAAACATTTTATTTGGAGGCTTTTAGAAAGGAAGAGAGAGAGAGAGAGAGAGAGAGAGAGAGAGAGAGAGAGGTGCTCAAGCGGGAACGCAGGCTTCTCCAAAGGTGGAGAGAGCACCTACACACATCCCAGTATTAGATATGGAAGCATGAAATTACACATCTCAAGAGGGGAGATGCGGGCGCCACACGTGCTTAGGCATGCTTGGGCAGCATATGCCTGCCCATCCTTTGTTCAAGGTGGCTTTTTCAGGATTTTTCCAATCCGTCCCCAAGTGGGGCTTTCTAGCTAGATAAAAATATAGGGTTGCTAAGCGAGTAGAGTTGGGAGTGGTTGTGGTCACTGATCCACTTTGAAAACTCCTCTTCTAGACCTTTGTCCGTGCTGAATCTTCTCTCTGATGGTGAGTCCACCCTTCGCTGGTCTGGGCTAGCTAAGGTTTAATTAGATTAAAGGAAGTTCTCAAGTAATTTCCTCAGGCCCTTTCTGTAGGGATGGGTTCAGTCTCCTCAGGGGCGGCTGCAGGAGGTCTTACCACATCTTGCTTTCTGTATCCACTGTATCCACAAGGTGGGTCAAAGTTAAAACTGGTGGCTTTAATACTTCCCAGAAATTTCACTGCCAAGATATACGGAGACCCTTACCTAATCTACCTGCCTGAATCAATACCACATATAAAATATACAAAAGCAAAACTCTGAGATTACCAGTCAGGATACTGTTTACCCTTGGGGCCAGATGGTAGGGGAGGCATTGCAGGTGAGTCAGTTGACAGTTATATTCTGGACTTTGCTTGAGTGTTGAAGACACTTAGCCCTGCAAGATCACTTTTGTAAATTTCTGAACAACCTCCTGGAGAACAAGTGTCTCAGGTTCTCTATAATCCAGCAGTCATCTGCCCAACATATGGGTCCTATCTGGAACTTAATGAAGGCTCTGACTAATCCTCCATTCCCAGGAACTCCTTACCCAGAAACATGTTTCTCTATACTATCAGGGCAATTCTCTTCTCCCCTGTTTCTATTTCCTAGTCCCATTCAAGAATATAGTATAGTGGGTAAGGTATTTGCCTTGCATGTGGCTTATCCGGGTTTGATTCCCAGCATCCCATATGGTCCCCTGAGCACCGCCAGCAGTAATTCCTGAATGTAGAGCACCAGGTATGACCCAAAAAGAAAAAAACAAACAAACCAAAAAAACTACCATAATGATTCCTGAGCACGGAGCAAAGACCTTGCTTGATCTACTCTTATAACTTGGCATGATAGGTAAAAACCCTAGGCCAGAGCAATATCAGAGCAGGTAGGCTGCTTGCCTTGCCTGGTTCAGATACCTCATATGGGCTCCTGAGTTTGGTAGGATTGATTCCTGAGCATCACTGGGTGTGGATTCCCCCCCCAAAAAACCTATCAAGAACTTTCATGTTATCTGGACTATATTTTCTCAGTTGTTTTGTCTAGAAGAGTATTGCAGCATGAATGTACACATAGACATAAGTGAGGGGGGGCCCTTCAGGAGACCATGCGGTGCCAATGACTGAACCTGAGCCTCTTTCATAAAAGTTTATGTTCTACTCATGAACTATTTGTGCTCACCTTTACACTCCTGGTTCCAGCAAAAACCCAATCCAAGTTCTGTCTACCCTCTCACCCAAGAGAACTGGAGAGGCATGGGCAGAATCTGGCTGAATATGAAGATGACGTATCAAGGATGAGACCACACAGTGTTTGCACAATGAGAAAGCTAATCTAAAGTCAGAGATTTCCCAAGGCTACTGACTGGTTCCACCCCTTCATTTAAGGTTACTTCCTTCTCCTTTTCTTCTTTTCTCTCCTTCCAGTTCCTTACTAAAACCTCTGTCCTCTTCCATTCTCAGTTATTTCTGGCTTGAAAACCTAGTGAAGTCAGGTCATTTGCAGAAAAGGGGCATACTTGAAAAGCAAAGAACTTGGTGGGGCCGCAAATGTGTTTAAGACTTCTCCCTTCTTCCATTTAACATTGCTGGTAAAACGCCATGTGACAAGCACAGAACAGTAGTGATTTAAATGCATGCCTCATGGTGGTCCCACATAGAGAAAATGGCATCTTGGAACTCAACAATAACTTCCACAGAAAATGATTAAATAAAAACCTATGCCAAGGAAGGAAAAAAAACAGCTGCTTTGTACATGGACCAGCCTATTTTCACTTCGATTGTCCATATACTGATGGCAAGTGGGAACTAGGTTCTCTCTTTGTGATTCTTTATGGGCTCCTGGATCACAGAATAGCAGAGAAAATTCTGAGAAGACTGACCAGGTTTCTAACTCAGATCTGAAAATGTCAATGGTGTTAAGCTTAACTTTCCTGCAACAGAAAATAATTACCAGAAGGAGGCAGCCTGAGCACTGGGGCTCTGACACCAGCTTATGCAGGACCACCATAGCAGTGCCTCAAGAGTAAATTGCCAGCTCATCATAGCTCTCTGTTCTGCCTGCTTCTACCTATTTTGAGACTCACCATCTCCTCAAGATGACACCCCCTCACTCCCACCAAATCCAAGTCATAAAGAAGAAATTTTTCTAAGGCTCTGAGTCTGGGTATGCTAATTTTGTGAATTTCCTCCAGGATGTCCCACTATCACTCAGGTTTATGGGTGGTCTGTGACCTGATAGAGCCCCTTCTGACAAACATACATAAAACTCCCAGATTTATTTCCCGTTCTGGGGAGGCCACCCTGGCAGTGCCTGAGAGACCTGTGGTGTCCAGGATAAAATCCCAGGTTTTCCTCATGCAAAGCATACACTCAGCTACCCTGGCAACGAAATGGCCCAGGTCAAAAGGCCACAATACTTAACTATAAGTTAAGAGTATGGTCATGGACAAATTCTTTCATGATCCAAAAAGTAACGACGAGATTAGGAATCTGCTAGGGTTAGGAAAGACTAATCTGGCCTGAGCACTATAGTCTGAGATCTATAGCGAGATGGCCCCAGGAGATCAATCCTATAAGTTTAATGTATCTCTTACTGTGTCCATACAAAATGACTAATATTATGAATGCTTATATGTTTGTTGAACTAGGAGATGAGAAACATACCCATTGATGGAATTTCACTCTTGGGTGGTCATCTTACTGAATGAGAATGTCCTAGAAGAAGCTTCCCCTGAGGGAAGGACTTTACCTCTATTGATTGAATGAGCACACCTACATGTAGTTATTACCCCAACTCCTCATGCTTTGGGAGATACAAAGGCTGTAAGAGTGGGCTGGAGAGGCAGAAGCAGGAAGGAGAAGTATGAAGGAACAGGATCCAAGAGAAGGATGAAGGAGATTGGGGAGGCAGAAGGAGAATCAGAGAACGGAGATGAGATTGGAATAAACTGCAATTGATACCAACCAGTCTGGCCCTTGTTTCCTCTATCCGCTGATCGCCATCAGCCGCATCAGGGTGGGAGAAGTGGTGCAAGAACCACCGAATGCAAATGGTGAGAGAGAGCAGCCGCAGCCCTTTGAAATTCATTTTTTGAATGCACATTAAACTATATTTTTTTAATTTGGGGACCACAACTGGCAATGCTCAGGGGTTACTCCTGCATCTGCATTCAGGAATTACTCTTGCAAGTACTTGGGGGACCATACGGGGTGCTGGGGATCTAAACATGAGTAAGTTGCATGCAAGACAAGTGCCCTACCTGTGGTACTCTCTCCAATCCCAGCAGTTGTATATTGTTTTGATATGATTTTTTAGGGGGAAGGGAGGACACCTGGCAATGTTCAGAGTTACTCCTGGCACTGCACTCAAAAATCATTCCTGGAGTTGCTCAGAGGAACACATGGGATGCTGGTGATCGAACCTGGATCAGCAGTGTGCAAGGCAAGCGCCTTTCCCACTGTACTATTACTCTAGCCCCATTATTTTGATAAGAAAAAAGAAAAAGGCTAAGAGCCAGAGCAACAGCACAGTTGGTAGGGTGCTTGCCTTACATGCAACTGATCTGGGCCCAATCCCCGGCATATGGTCCCACAAGCACTGCCAAGAGTAATTTCTGAGTGCAGAGTCAGGAATAATCTCAGATCATTGCCAGTTGTGCCCTGCCCACAAACAGCAACAACAATAACACACCAATGTACAACTTGTAACAAAAGGTTAATTATTCCCCTAAAAAAAAGAGTTTATTTTTTCACTATCAATTTTCAATCTATAGCAGAAGTACACATATCTTTAAATGACTAAAGTTACAGTAAATTTTTTATTTTAAGTGGTATTGTTGGTGTCTGCCATGTTAAAGCATTTTGAAACTTGGCGACAAAACCTTTAAAGTTCAGACTGGTTACACAGGACACCTTAGAAAGTCCTCAACAACAATGAGGATATGTAATAACAAGCATAAAATCTTAGTATTTTTTGTAAACAAAAACAGCATACCGTATTCGTTAGTGGTAGCCCTTTTCATCTTAGTATAAGCCTCTTTCATTCTTCTTCAAAGAGAAAAAATTCACTGTTCATTCATATTTGTCCAGTTGCCCATTCTGAAACATGTTCCCAACTGAATATTGAAAGTAGGTAAAGAGACATACCTGATAACCTTTCATTATCTGTATTGCAAACCATAAGGCCCAAAAGGAAAGGGAGAGAGGAAGGAGAAGAAAGGGAAATGGAAGAGGGGGAGGAAGAGGGAGAGAAGGAGAAGGAGGAGGTAGGGGAAGAAGGGGAGGTGGAAGGAAGGAGAGAGGGAGGGGAACAAGGAGGGGGGGAGAGGGGAAGGGGATGGGTAAAGAGAATAAAAGAAAAGTGCCTGCCATAGTAGCAGGTGGGGGAGGGGCAGGGAGCAGGAGGTAAACAGACCTTTGGTGGTAGGAAAAGTACATTGGTGAAGGGAAGAGCGCTGGAACATTTTATGACTGAAATGCAATCATAATCAACTTTGAAAATGTGGATATCACTGTGACTCAACTTTAAAAAAAACTGAAATATATCCCCAGCATCTAAAAGGTCAACAACACATTCAAAGAGCAAAATTTCTAATTCTCTCGTTGCTGTATAGTGTGGAATCTTTTACCAGAATAGCTCTGCTATAGAAATGAGAGTAAGAGTTCCTGCAGAATGGTTCCCTCAGAGATTTAACTTGATCCTATTAAGAGTTTGCTCAGGTACAAAAAGGTAAATACAACTATTAAAGAATTCTCATATAAATTACGTAGCAATCAAAAAACATTACAGTTTTTAAACATTCTGTTATAAGAATAGGTGGGTATCTCAGGGAAAATTTCTTCTGACATTCACAAGTTTAATCCAGTGTGCATGCTATTATTTTTGCTATAGACGGAATTATCCCTAGTGTTTTTCCCTCACATTTATTACCACCTACATTTTCTGCAGGAGTTACCAAATGGACTTTTCTCCCGACTGGAGAAGTCATTCTGAAGACATTATTTTTAAGGAGAGCCAGACAAGAACTGAGTATGATGCACATTCATTATGTTTCTGTGCTTTGTTCGCTAGGGTGTGCTCTTTGGTGTCGGATGAGGGATGAATTCCTTTGGAATGTTTTTCCGCACTGCAGACAGTGGCTGGAACCTTCCCTGCTATGCAGTGTCTGATGAACTGCCAGATGAGAGTTCTGCTTGAAGGATTTGCCGCATTCTGAACATCGGTAAAGGGTCTCCTTGATGTGAATTCTCTGGTGCTTGGTTAGACAGGAGCTGTCTCTGAAAGCTTTGCCACATTGATTACACTCATAAGGCTTCTCACCAGTGTGAGTTCTCTGGTGTCGGATGAGGCCAGCAATATTTCTAAAAAGCTTCTGACACTGGTCACAACCATAGGGCTTCTCACCAGTATGAATTCTCTGGTGCCTGATAAGGTAAGCACTCTCAATAAAAGTTTTCCCGCATTCCTTGCACTCATAGGGTTTCTCTCCAGAATGGATTTTTTGATGCACAATGAGGTGAGAGTTACGGTTGAAGGATTTACCGCACTCTACACATTCAAAGGGCTTTTCTCCAGTGTGAGTTCTCTCATGCTGGGTGAGATATGAACCATCTCGAAAAGCTTTGCCACATTTGCTACATTCATAAGGTTTCTCCCCAGTGTGGATCCTGAGATGCACCGTGAGGTGAGATATGTCAGTGAAAGGTTTCCCACACTCATTACATCTATATGGTTTTTCCCCTGTGTGAGTTCTTTGATGCAAAATCAGGGATGAATTTCGGTTAAAGGATTTGCCACATTCTAGACATTCATAAGGTTTCTCCCCAGTGTGAATTCTCTGGTGCTGTGTCAGAGCAGACCCATCACTAAAGGCTTTCTCACATTTACTGCATTTATAGGGCTTCTCTCCTGTATGAATTCTTTGATGTACAACCAGGTTGTAGTTCTTGGAGAAGGATTTTCCACACTCAGTACAGGTATAAGGTTTCTCTCCGGTATGAGTTCGGCGGTGCAAAGTAAGGGAAGAATTCCTTTTGAAACACTTGCCACATTCAGTACACTTGTGTAATTTCTCTCCAGAGTGACTCCTCCTATTTTCATTAAGAGACGAACTAAGGCTAAAGATATTCCCAAAATCCTTATCTTTATACAGTCTCCTCCCTCCTTTAATTGTTTTTTGCTCACTAAGAGGGGCAAAATGTTTGAAAGATTCAACACTTTCCGTGTATTTACAACATTTCTCTCTCATTTGATTTCTTCCAAGTTGATTAACTCCCATAGAATAGCTGAAGGATTTTCCAGAGTTGTCATTATCACCAGATCTCTTAGATATGTAACTTTTCTGACAATTGTGCAAGACTGGGTCACAATCCAAACTTTTGACATCTGAGTTATATATATGGAAACCATTTGTTGCAAGGTCTGAGCTTGCAATAAAATGCTTCCCAAATCCAGGATATTCACAAATGGCTTTCTGAGTCCCTGATTTCTCCTGACTTAAAGCTGATTGCTTCAAAGGTCCCTCCTGGTTCTTAGATTCCCAGTTCTCACCTAGAATGGAGAAATGTAAACTCTCTCCCTTAAATCCTTCCATTGTCTTGTGACTAGAAATTTCTTCCTGAGGAAGATCTTGAGCTGTCATAATCAATCTAGTATCCCCTGTTGAAAAGTAGAACATGAAAAGACAGACTTAAGTACATGAAATTGGATTGAATAATGTGAGGACAAGCATGTAGGTATACCAAGCATGTAGACGTGCTATTTTCACCTGTTTTCTCTTTTATTTACATCTGTATAAAGGGGTAGATACGTGAGTAAAAGATTGTGGAAATAAGTCCAAGAGAAACACACAGCATTTCTAGAGAAAAGTAGCAAAAATAGTAATGCGAGCAAATATTACCAAAAGGATTAGCTTTTGGCTGGAAGCATGGAAGATGGCGTATAGATGTCATATCTTACTGAAATCTGAGTCATATATATGGAAACCTCTATAGAACCGTGAGTCACATCATATGCAAGCTTACCCACATTACCCACTGCGCATACCAACAACCAGTACACATTTTCAAAGTCCAATCTTCACAATGTGCTTATGATAGTACTAAATGAGCAAGTCTCACCTCAGTTTTATAATCAGACTCTTGCCACATGCATTGGACACAGTACAGGTTCACAGACCTTAAAGTTCTGAAAGGTCTGCATCTTTCAATGACTGGAATTCAGAATTACTACGAGAATTAGCATAGATGCTAGGTTTAAACTACAGAACAGACAACTTCCTTAAGTGCCTGCTACTGTCTTCACCATTACTGTCTTTTAACACCTTTCTTCTCACTGACTTCATAACAGCAACACAGGTGCTTGTCCATATTGCTTTACGAAAAATTACAGCCCTACCTCAGAAAAATTAGTTTGTTCAGTTTATTGTTTTGGTTGTGGGCAGTACTTAGTGCTTACTCCCAGTTCTGTGATCAAGGATCATTGTCTGTAGGTCTCTGAGGAACTCTGGAGGGTGCTGGATAGAAGATTGGGATCAGGACATGCAAGGCCAGTGTCCTACCTGCTGTAATAGCTCTCCAGCCCAGGGGGAAAAATTTTTTTTTTGAATATGGGTGGGAGGCCCAGAGCACTAGTGCAGTGGGTAGGATATTTGCCTTGCACACGGTCCACCCGGGTTCTATTCCTGGTATCCCACATGGTACCCCAAATACCACCAAGAATAATTTATGAATGCAGAGCCAGGAATAAACCCTGAGGATCACTGGGTGAGACCTAAGAGGCCAAAAACAAATATTAAAAATAGGAGTGGGGGAAAGATGCTATGTCTAGTGATAAGAATTCATGTCTTACATGTGTGAGGCTCTTGCTTTGAGCCCTAGCACAGAAACACACACATATACACACATAAATACACACTTGGATAAAGATCTAAACATACAAATCAAAGTTTATATATAAGCTTTCATGATTGGGGTAGTCCTTAGAGTAGATATAAAAATCAAACTAGGGACAGGCAGTTTCCTGTGTCTGCTACTGTCTTCAGGCTTAACATACATTAAACAGAAATACAGACCAGAAATAGCACATTTGATTTCAACAGAGATGTAGCTAAAGTAATATAGATTTCATGTTATATATATGCAAGGCTCAGAATTTGATTTCTAATACTGAAAATACAATAAATAATCACTAAATATCTGGGAGTGAAAAGAAAAGACTGTTTGCTTTGCACACAGACAAACTGGGTTCAATTCCAGGCACCTAATATGATCCCCTAGCCAACAAAGAAAGGAATAAGCCCTGAGTAGTACTGGGTGTAGACCAAAGAGAAAAAAAATCCTACTCAAAAATGGGTAAAGAACAGAAAAATTGCATTTAACTGAGGAAGAGAAAAATCTCTCTAAGAAAAATATACCTTCATTCTCACCATAATTCAGAAAAATGCAACACAAACTTTAAAAACAGGGGCAGAGCTATAGGACAGAAGGTGGGCCACTTACCGTGCACAAGGCCAATCTGTGTTCATCCTGGCACCACATAAGGTCCCCTGAACGCCATCAGGAATGATCCCTGAGCACCAAGTCAGAAGCAAACCCTGAGCATTGCTGGGTGTGCTGCCCCAAAATAAAAACTACCAAAAAAACTTTTAAAAGAAACTCTGCATATTTTAGATTAAATGAAAATTAAACTAAGTGTGATATATAGTTTGGGCAGGCTTAGGTGATCAGTCTGCTTAATGGTTGTCAAGGCATAGAACAGGTTCAATTCCCTGACCAGGAGTCCCTCTTAGGCATTTCAGATTTAGAAAGCATCCTAGGTAGAAATAAAAACCAATCTATACCAACACAGAGAATCCAGGAAGAAAACATTACTAATAATGAAATAAAAAGTATTAGTGATCAGATGGAGTGGGTGTGCCCTCTCCACAGGCTCCAGATGAAACCCTGGTGGCCACGAGCTTCCAGAAGCAAAACCCAAGTATGTGGGTTCCAGGACTAAGACTCCAAGCCTCAAGACAGCAGCCTCTCTGTCTCCCTGCCAGCTTGGAGTCCTGGCTGTCACGCCCACAATCCACCCCTGAGCACCATCACAGCACATCAACGACCTTGATCTAGATACTCCCAAATAAATCTCAAAATGGATTTGCTCCCTACAGAGATGTCTCTGGACCTCAATCATTTACAATTTTAGAATTCCAGAAACATGCAGCCACAAAATAGCAATAGAGAATAAATTATCGAGCATCTGCCTCTGGCAGGCAGGCTTGAATGGTGGTGGGAAAATCTGAGCAAACCACAATGCCCAAAAGTAGAGAGTATGGGGGAAACTGTCTGACATAGAAGCAGGGGGAGGTTTGGAATGGGGGAGGATACTGGGGACATTGGTGGTGGAAGATATGCATTGGTGGAAGGATGGGTATTCTATTGTTGTATGATTGAAACTCAAACATGAAAACTTTGTAACTGTATCTCACTGTGATTCAATTTAAAAAAAAATATTGGAGACTTAAAAAGTCTATGGGGAAAAAATTGTCTTAAATGTTCTGTTTTGGTTTTGTTGTTTTTTTTGGCCCATACACAGCTGTACTCAGGGCGTACTCCTGGCTCTGTGCTCAGGGATCACCCCTGAATGGGTTCTGGAGACCACATAAGGTGCCGAGGATCAAGCTGTGGATGGCCACATGCAAGGTAAATACTCTACTCACTATACTATCACTCAGGCCTCCATCAAATCCCATCAAATATTATTCTTCAGAAGAGATGATAAGAAAACACTAAAGCTGGGAAGGTCTAAGCGATAGTATAGCAGGTAGGACCCTTGTCCACAGTCAATCCCCGGCACCTCATATGGTTGCCCAAGCACTACCAGGAGTGATCCCTCAGTGTAGAACCAGAAATAAACCCCGAACACCACCAGGTGTGCCACCCCTCCAAAAAAGAAAAAAATGAAAAGAAGAGTTTGTTGCAGAGGACATTAGCGAAATTTAATAGAAAAAGTTGCTCTTGCAGAAAAAAGAAATCAGAAAGCACATGACTAAGAATTGTGAGCCCCCAGCCTCTACACTTGAGCATCACCAGGCCCAACCACCAACTGTCGAGTCTGCACTGCTGAGCTGAGTATCACTAAAAGTAGCCTTGGACCTGTGAATCACTGGGAATAGTTTAAAAACCCAACACTGGCATAGATAAATGAAAGGTAGTATCAAATGACTCAGGGACTACACTGGGCTAAAACTGGTATCAATGGCCTGGGGAAGATGGGAAAATGTTGGGAAGATGGGAAAAGTCAGTGTACTCAAGTCCCTACATTCTTCTTGATCTATGAACCTGCTCAAGTATGGAACAGAGTATTTGGGGCCACAGAGACAGAAAAACAGATAATATGTTTGCCTATTAACCCGCTGACCTGGATTGAATTCCTGGCACCCTATAGGGGACTGTGAGCCCATCCAGGTGTAACCAAACCCCTACTCATAAATAAAAAGTGTAGGGTCCAGAGTGATAGTACAGCAGGAAGGGCATTTGCTTCTCACGCATTCAACCCAGGTTAGATTCCCCAGCATCCCAAATAGTCCCCGGAGCCCCACTAGGAATGATCCTGAGTGCAGAGCCAGGGGTAAGCCCTGAGCACCACTTGGTGTGCTTCCCCCTCACACACACACACACCAAAATAAATAAAATTTAAAAATGAAACAAAACTGTACACATAAGGTAAAACTTTGCAGGTGCACAGCCCACTGAGTGACTGTTTCAAACAGGGTTTAGCCAAGAAAGGGTCACTGTCACTGTTCTCCCATTGTTCATCGATTTTTCTCAAGCGGGCCCAGTAACGTCTCCATTGTGAAACTTCGTTGTTACTGAATTTGGCATATCAGATATGCCATGGGGAGCTTGCGAGGCTTTGCCCTGCAGGCGAGATACTCTCAGTAGCTTGCCGGGTTCTCTGAGAGGGGAGGAGAAATCGAACTCGGGTCGGCCATGTTGGCTGCATGCAAGGCGAATGCCCTACCGCTATGCTATCGCTCCAGCCCAACAAAGGGTACAAGACAGTATCTGGAGATGTTTAGGATGTTGTGACTAGGGAGGGTAAGACGCTATCAGCACAAGTGGGTAGAGGACAGAGATCAGTAACCCTTCAGCACACAACCGAGAATAATCTGCTTAAAATGTATTAAATAATGTATTAAATAATCTGCTTAAAGAGCATTGATGGAAAAATCCTGCTGTATGAAAGAAGAATAAAAGAAAGCCAGATCGATCAGAGGGTGGTTAGGTGGAAATATAATAATATAAGAAAGTATATAATACAAAATCACCATAAACAATAAACATAAATGTCTCTTGTAGGTCAGACAGGGACTTGATAGATAGATGGTGTCTCAAGCCTCACCAAGTGTGATTGATTCCCTTTTAAAATTTTTTGGTTGTAGTTGTTTTGGAGCCACACCCAGCAATGCTCAGGGGTTACTCCTAGCTCTGCACTCAGGACTCACTCCTGAAGCTCTAGGGACCATACGGAATTTGGGGGATTAATCCTAGGTCGGCAAGAACACTATCCACTGTACCATAGCTCCAGCCACCAAGAATGATTGCTGAGTAAAGAGCCAGTAGTCAGCCCTGAGCACTACCCAGTGTGGCCAAGCCCTCTACCAAAATAAA